CAGTACAAGCAGACATGTTTAATTTCTTACAAGCAGGCTCTGACGATTACGACTGTTGTTGTTGTTGTTGTTGTTATCGATCCAGCGGCGCATGAGCTTTCGCCCTTTGGCCCAATGCCATGTAGTGGAATTTGCATGTTTTCACAAGCTGTTCTTTTCCTCCGTACAAGGTGTTCCACTTGTCTGGTCTCGGAGGGAGTAGCGTTCTTCTTGTCTCACTGAGTTTTGGGCACTCAAAGAGATTGTGTTCAACAGTTTCGTAGGGGTAGTTACATAGCTGGCACTCTGGGGAGTGTTGTGGCTGTATTCTGTTTAGGTGTCCATTGAGTGGAGTATGTTGCGTTCTAAGTCTGAAGATGGTGGCCTGGTCCCTTCTTGTTAGATGGTTAATGCTGTCATTAGGATCAGGGCCAGACATATGTCTATAAACCTCTCTTCCAGTGTCTCCCATGGCCCATCTGTTTAACCAAGTCTCTTTGTTTATAGCTCTTATCAGTGTTTTTGCTGTCTGGAGGGTTGTCGCTGTAGGTGGTTGTTCTTGTGTTGCTCCTTTCTTTGCCAATCTGTCAGCTCTGTCATTACCTGGTGTGCCAGAGTGACCTGGAATCCACTGCATCACTATTCTGATGTTGTATGAGGTAATAAGCTGATCGGCATCCAGGATTATCTTGGCTATGTCAGTTCTGCAGCGTTCATTGCCCTCCAGAGCTTGAAGGGCAGACATTGAATCTGTGAAGATGACAATATTTTGGACCTTTGAGGGGTAAACATCCATTACAGTCTTTAGGTGGTATACTGCTGTTTCCAGTGCAATTATTTCAGCTTCATAGTTTGAACAGAATTCCCCGCATGCATCAAAAATCTCTTCAACAGATCCATCGGGATAACCTATGTAGATTCCGTAACCTGCTTTAATGGTAGCTTTAAATGCTGATCCATCAGTATAGACATGTATCCATTCTTGGGGGTAAGAATCAACGGTCTTTAGTGATGAGTTTTACGACTGTTGAGTCCGTTTGATTGTTTGTTTGTTTTAGTATCCAGAAGCCATAAGTTGTTAACCCTTAGGCTCGGTATTATGGATATCGCAACTTTTCGGCCTTGATTCCATTGTAAATACCGTAAATTTGGGAGAAATGTGGCTTTTCTGTATATCCCTGGGAGTGAACGCGGACCACAAGAAGTTCGTCACCCGGTCACCGCGCAATCCGGTTTAGCCAACTACGATAGAGAGCCGGGCAGTTCCTTTGATAACTGATATTTCAGTTAAGTCAGTATTACTTGTGTTGTCATTCAAACATTTGTTAGTGCGGCTAAAACCCAGCCCCGTTCCCCTAAACCCCCACCATATCTAGAAGTTCTCTGTCAAATATTTGTTTATACTGTTTGTGTTATTTCAGAAATATTTTTATTTCTAAATGCTATTCTGAGTTCAGTTTTACTCTCTGTAGTTCATCGTCTCTCTTCCACTTTCTTTATCTCTTTCCCTTTCTTTCACCATCTGTCTTATTTTGTTCCTCTCTTTCTCCTGTTTTTTTTTTTTTTTATTGGTTCTATGTCTCTCTTTCTTGCTGTTAGTAATTGTAATCTTTCTCTCAATACCTCTCTTTCTCTCTCCCTTTCTCTCTCCCCCCCCCCTCTCTCTCTCTCTCTCTCTCTCTCTCTCTCTCTCTCTCTCTCTCGATTTATATCTATTTTTCTCTAAATCTTTCTTCCCTCCTCTACTTTTCTCTCTATTCTCTCTCTCTCTCTCTCTCTCTCTTTCGTCTCTCTCTCTCTCTCTCTCTCTCTCTCTATTACTATTTCTCTCTCTGTATATAACTATTCCTCTCTACCTCCCCCTCTCCCTTCCCCTCCCCACTCTCTCTTTCCCTCTCGCGTTCCTCCACCCCCTCCCTCTTTCTTTCCCTCGCATTCTCTATATTCAAATCCTGGTGTTATTTCCCGTGTCCAGTTTTCCAAACCTTGTCTAACTCTCCTGGTGGAAACATCTCCTAGTGGAAACATCTCCTGGTGGAAACATCTCCTGCTGAGCGGCGCTGGTGATTAAAACAAATCAGCTTAATGGACACGACAATTGCCGACAAAAATGGCGGAACCGTGTGTGATTGATCCTGAATGTCTGCAACTCACCAGTGCGGTAATCAGCGGGCTTTGATTGTGGGGATGCATCTGTAAATAACGCAGAAGAGGATGATAATGAGGAGGATGAACAGAGGGCGGCGGGCGGAGGTGTACAGGACGAGGATTAATCGGGTTTGTGATAACTGAATGATAACCTTGTTATCTGTATTGTCGTACGTTTTCTGGGTGCGCTTGTGGGTACTCATTGGCGCTCGTAGTTAAAAGTTTCAGCTTCTTCCGTCTTTCTTCCCCTCTAACCCCTTCCTTTTCCCTCTCTTCTGTCTTCCTTCTTTCCTCTTCATTTTTCCTTTTCCCTTCTTCTCTCTTCTTTCTTCCCGTGTCCCCTTTCTTTCATCCCCTTGCCTCTAACCCCTTTCTTCTTCTCCTCCTTCTTCTTCTTCTTCTCCTCCTCCTTCTTCTTCTTCTTCTTCTTCTTCTTCTTCTTCTTCTTTTTTTTTTTCTTTTTCTTTTTCTTTTTCTTTTTCTTTTCTTCTTCTTCTTCTTCTTCTTCTTCTTCTTCTTCTTCTTCTTCTTCTTCTTCTTCTTCTTTTTCTTTTTTCTTTCTTCTTCTTCTTTTTTCTTCTCATTCCTCATGTTCCTCTCTTTCTTTCTCCATTGTTATCCAAATCACTTTCTTGTTTTACTTTTCATTCTTTTCTTTTTTTATCTTTTCCTTGTTCGCTTACATGTATGTGTCTTTCATCGGATATCTGCTTGCTGCTCATCCTCTCTCTCTCTCTTTCTCTTTCTCTCTCTCTCTCTCTCTCTCTCTCCCTCTCTGTCTTTCTGTCTTTTTGTCTTTCTCTCTCTTTCTCTCTCTCTGTCTTTCTGTCTTTCTGTCTCTTTCTCTCTCTCTCTCTCTCTCTCTCTCTCTCTCTCTCTCTCTCTCTCTCTCTCTCTCTCTCTCTCTCTCTCTTGTCTCGGTGTATTTTTGTATCACATCCATTATTTATATTTTAACTGATTTCAATTACATACCCCCCATCCCAAACACACATACGCACACACTCACAAGCAAACATTATAAACATACCAGACTCACACTCACACGCACACACACACACACACACGCACACACACGCTCACACCCGCGCGCACACACACGCTCACAAGCGCGCACACACACGCTCACACACGCGCACACACAGCCGAACGAACCCACAAGCCATCAAACCCATTAGAACGTTCACGTAACATTGCACAGCAAAGCCTGGATATCCGAGCATGTCCGAGCCACTTGGCGTTTACGAAACATTCCAGAGAATGGTTTAATTGGTAGTCATCTAATTAATAATCGGTGGCTATGCACTTTACGCAACTGCCGCCATCACTTTGCGACAGCAAATGGAAAACCCGGTTTTTCTCTGTGTGATAATTTCAGGCAGCCAACTTAAAAGCGTGTTCGCCGATCAATTATTCGGCCTTTCATCGTCTACACAAATCCGAAACACTATGTCTGATAATTAAAGAGGGGTTTACACAAAAGCATTGTCAAGACAAGAACACAGAGCTGATCTGACACTTGTGATATTGTGGAAAGTTAGATAATTACAAAGTGACCTTCGGTCGAATGTGCGTTGATAGTGATGTTAATTCCTGTTTTGTGAACACCTGTCTCTAAATATGATGATGATAATAATAAGAATAAGAATATTAATAAAAATAATAATAATAATAATAATAATAAAAAGAAGAAGAAGAAGAAGAAGAAGAAGAAGAAGAAGAAGAAGAAGAAGAAGAAGAAGAAGAAGAAGAAGAAGAAGAAGAAGAAGAAGAAGAAGAAAAAGAAGAAGAAGAAGAAGAAGAAAAAAAAAGAAGAAGAAGAAAGGAAAGAAGAAGAAGAAAGGAAAGAAGAAGAAGAAAAAGAAGAAGAAGAGAAGAAGAAGGAGAAGGAAAGAAGAAGAAGAAAGAAGAGAAAGAAGAAGAAGAAGAAGAAGAAGAAGAAGAAGAAGACCTAATGTATTTACAATCTACCTGACACCCTGCTGCTACGTGCTCCAAATTTCACGCACAGAAAAAACACGAAACATTTTCACATTTTTTCTGTAGGTAATTTCATAGACCCCCATCTCCCATGTGAAAACTAAAAAGAAAAGTCATCAAACGCTATAAGAAAAGGCAATTTCAACATTATATCAGAAATAAAAATTCAGGGCCTTTAATCTAGAACAATAAAATAGAGTTGTTTCTCTTGTTAACAGCGTTCGGAAATTACTTCTTCAATGTGTTCACATATTTTTTTTTCCTCGCAAAAACTTAATTATTATTTTTTATTTATTTTTTCAACATCAAGAGCAAGGAAATTGTTAGAAGAAATTCTAAAATAAGGGAAATAGTTTAAAAACGTGGAGTAGTTTTTAATAATCTAAAACAATCCATAATCGAAAAGTGTATTTTTGCCGTAAATAGCGTTTCTGTAGCAATAACAGAGAATTTGCGCGTTGCTTCAAACGATAATAAAAAGGCAATAAATGCTACAGAAATACAAAGTGTCAGATGTTATAGTTGTATAGTTGGGGCTCCAATTTATTCCTTCGCTGACTAATCTGCAGAGGCAGGGGGACAGGGGAGCCGTTAGTGTTTGTCTTGGCTGTCTGTGGAAGCTCTTGAGTTCGAATCTGCATCCAGACATAATGTTTACAACTGGCCTAGGGCTCCCATGTCGATCCATTCTGTAAAGATTACTATGAAATTTCTTAGGAAGTAAAAGGAGCGAGGGTGATGTTGACAAGACTGAGAAATGTCCCGTTGATAAGACTAAGACATGTCCCATTGACAAGAGTGAGAAATGTCCCATAGACAAGACTGAAACATGTCCAACCAATAAGACTAAGAAATGTCCTATTGACAAAGTTGAGAAATGTCCCATAGACAAGACTGATTCATGTCCCATTGACAAGACTAAGAGATGTCTCATTGACAAGACTAAGAAATGTCCCATTGATAAGACTCAAAAATGGCCCATTGACAAGACTAAGAAATGTCCCATTGATAAGACTCAAAAATGTCCCATTGACAAGACTCAGAAATGTCCTATTGACAAGACTCAGAAATGTCTCATTGACAAGACTCAGAAATGTCTCATTGGCAAGACTCAGAAATGTCAAATTGACAAGACTCAGAAACGTCCCATTGATAAGACTCAGAAACGTCCCATTGATAAGACTCAGAAACCTCCCATTGATAAGACTCAGAAATGCCCCAATGCAATAGTGTGCATATTTGGCCCCATTCTATCACAGCGTAACTACAACAGAACCTAGAGTACTCCACAAGAAGGCAGACAGTTTTATCTAAAAACTCTAGTTACGGCCCCTGGAATTCACTGGTAATTTCTATTCTTCGGTCCCACGTATCTCTTCAGTCAACTGACTAGACATTGACGTGGCCGCTTCAAGATGCTAAGCTAAGTGATTTTGTGTATTTGTGTGATATTTTATAATTCATGTGTGTGCCGATTAAGACTCATTAAACTCAACGTTCACATTTGGTTTATGTTTGTTATTTTGTAAAGCTTGCTTATATACTTTTTGTTCGGTTCTGTATCTTTTCTTGTTTCATTTTAGACGCGCACCAATACTTTTAAATATCCCCAAGTGTCCATACGTTCACATAACCACACACACCAACACTCCCACACACATACACACACACACACACACACACATACACACAAGCCAACACTACCACATATCTATACACATACACCCACACACCAACATACATCTGTATATAAGCCAACACGCGCACATATCTATATACACACATATTCACAGATGCACTCATGCGTCCAAATATCTACATGCCCACGTATCCATTCACACGCCCAAGGCCCACATATGCACACACACACATATATCCACAAACGAGCACACGCTCACGTATCAACAAACAAGCACACGCTCACATATCAAAAAATAAGCACACGCTCACACATTCACAAACAAGCACAAGCTCACATATCCACAGACGCCTACCTACCCATAGAGGCATGCTCCCATATCCACAAACACACGATTGCATATTCACACTGACAGGGCCACATATCATCACACAACCAGTCTCATTTCCACACACACACATCCAAAGGGCCACGCATCACCATACACCCAATCTCATATCCATACACACCCACACGACCACATATCCACACACCCACAAGGCCATATATCCAAACACGCTCAGTCGTAATTCCCCGGCCGTTAAACTTGACCAATAAACGTTTAAGTGTTCAAATATGTCGACGCTGCGAAGTCCGGTCAGAATCCCCGTAAGCTGTAAATTAACTCTCTCTCTCTCTCTCTCTCTCTGTCGGCAGCATCACAGTGGAGAGTTAATGGAGGCATGTGCCCCTAGCAAATGTTGGCCACGGTGGGGGCAAAGAGGGTGGGGGGGGGCGATGTTGTCTAGTGGATTTCATTCCCTCGCTTAATGCTTGGCCAGACCAGGCATCGTTGCTGTGGTAACCTGGGCAACCACGTGATATCGTTTAAGGACTATGGTTTGATTTTGCCGATGCAGGGATTCTCAAACACGATATTTTAATACACTGACTGGCACTTATAGATGCAGAAAGAAACAGTAGACACAAAATGGTTCATAACGATTTATTTCTTGCGAGTTAACTCTTTCATGCCAGCAGATATTTGCAGCTCTAACACTTTGTCCTTTTCGTCAGGTCACAATGTAAACCAAGCATTTACTAGCTTTGTATCGCTCTACTCCCCGTGTGCATTTTGAGGCCCAGTTTGAAGAGAGGGGGGGGGGGGGGTTGGAATTAATTCACTGCCGGTTAACAGGTATATCCTAAAAGGCGAATAATTATAGGCACTTTCTTCGAAGTAAGAGTGCGTGTGTCTTAGAAGCAAGGAACAATTAATCTTCATATAAATAAGCCAGATCTGTAAAACAGATGTGCACGCAAAACTCCAGTTCTGGATTACGAAGAAAGTCCACACGTGGACGAACAACCGTACTTTGCACAGGCGTTTACAGACGATGAATACTTAAAAAAGCAGAATAAATCTGGCTCTGTTGCGTGCTGATTTGGGAGAGTGTAATATTGTGTGAAGGGACAGAGTGGTATGATAGTTCTTTCCGGGATTTCAAGGGGAACAGAGTCAACATTGGCCCGAGTAGTGAGGGTGAGAGAATGTTGACCAGTGAGAAGTGTAGTGTTACGCGTGGGTTTACGGTGGGGGCTGACAATGATGGCTATCGAGACGCATCGAGAAAATAGGAATTACGTGACAGTGTGATTCTCATGTAACATCAGCCACCCACATAAGCGGGATCCTCGAGATCGCCTAGATGAGCCTGAGTCCCGAGAATGCCCACATGACCATGATTCCCGAGAACGCCCGCACGAGAGTGCCTCTCGTGTAACATCAGCCGTCCACATGGGTTTGGCAGGGATATATTGGGACTGCGTAGACAGTCCGAGTCAGGGAGCAGTAGCCAGAGAGCTAAAGCATTAGGGAGTGCGGGTCTAGTACACACGCAGCACAAGAGTGCTGCGAGTCAGTCAGAGTCCAAGAGAGAGAGAGAGAGAGACTAAGTCAGGGTCAGTCAGTTTCTCTCGAGTGAGACAGCAAGGTCTGAGTAAGGGTTGTGGTTACGGTACGGGTCGAAGGTATAGTCCCGCTGGCGAAGTATGGTCCAGGGGACTGGATGCTCCAACAGTGACTCTTCTGGGTGACGGCGCAAGGAAACATAGGATCACCATTGAAAAATAACAGTAGGGATGCCGACGAGAGCGGTGTTCTAGAGGGGACATGTTAGAAGTCCTGTAACAGAGTCCTTCGACAGGCTGATGTGCTGTGGGTACATGCTGGAGAACGAGCAAGTGAAGTCCGTTTCCAGTCAGCCGTGGTTGTCTGCTGAAGTCATATCAAGGTCCAGTGGATAGGCGAATTCGTCCTGTTCGGCTGTACAGAGATCCCAGAGTTGTGGGGCGGTGTAGACCTTCGGAGCTGTAGTGGTCTGGGAGAGGTCGCTACAAGTTGAGAGGGAGCAAGTGGGGACTACATGGACTATGTTCGAGTGCCAATTAGATTCAATTTCTACGTCTCTGCAGTTTTGTTGATGTGAGGGCTTGTAACTAGTCTCTTGTATTCTGTCGAATAAATCCAGTATATGACAGAACTACTGTCGTCAAGTCTTGCTTCGAGAGTGTGGGAGCGAAAGTTTTTGTTTTTTTTTCTAATAGAAACTTTGAAGTGTGCTGATTAGTGTGTAACTCAGATAGCACACAACACGCTCTCTACTATAGAATCTTAAGTTCAGTAGTTTTCCATTGCTTTCTAAACTGTACAGAGTTCATAACGATAAAATCCGAACAAAAAGGTTTCCTACCAAATCAGCTGCACTTCACATCGGAGCCTAGTATGCTACATGCTAAAGAAGAAGGCAACATTTACGTTGGGCATACAAATGCACGAAACAGGGAAATGGGTTAAGGACTAACAGACGTTCTTGTAGGTCATGCTTGGAGCGACATTCTGTGAAGCAACTGCTACATGATGGTGATTGGACACAGAAGTGCTGATGTTCCGGGAACAAGATTCAGTTAATCAAGACCCCCCCCCCCCTCCCTTCCCACCCCATTCACAAGGAACATCCTAACTAGAAGTGAGGTCGAACCCCACGAAAACCGTTCACTAAACGGTTTGAACCCTGTGATCCAAAAAAGTCACTATTTTGATGATAATCCCGCCCCCCCCTCCCCCCCCCCCCCCCCCCAGTACAAATCTCTAATTCCGTTTAACAGTAAGGTTATTGTGATAGGCTGGAAACGATAAAGACTACTGTTCAGTAGCTTAACGATTTTGATTTAATCTGGTTTAAAAATGACCAAGAGGCCTCAGGAACAGCTATTAGCTTTAGACGGTAACCCGGAAAAATCTGGCCACTGGGTATAAATAGGCCAACTGACTTAGTATTTTCCTTCTATTTTGGCGGTCGCTTTGTGGTCAGCACGGTATGGTCAAGACGCCCTGTTTGCCATTGTTGACTGCACTTAGTCTCAACGCACAGGTGTGTCAGATCGGACCGGCTGAACGACGCTAGACTGGCTCGTGTTCGCCATAATGGTACGTTTCTTTTGGTTATATGGTGTTAGAATTGATTTCCATTGTGTATTATCGCTAAGAGATAGTTTGATGGCAGGTCACTTTAGCTGATTTGTTGGTCTGCTGGTAGTTGTCAGTATTTTGTTATTCATTGGTTTACTAGTTGCTTGATAGTTTTCTGCTGCTCTGCTCGTATACCTTCAGTTAGTAGTTCTTTAGTATACTTAGTGTTCGGAGTGTGTCGTCAAGTATTATTGCTATATATCATCAAGTAAAGGAAGTTTCTGAATTTGTCGACTTACATTCTCGTTATTTTAGTTAGTGTACCTAGGTTTTACTGTTACACTATATTAGACCACACACGGAAGATTTCATGTCAGGGTGAGCTATTTTTTATCTTTCCCCGCCTAAACGAACTTTTTCTCTCTTTTTTTTTTTTTTTTACTGAGGTAGCTTAAGGTTGGGGTTTGGCTCCCACTCGCCACGTCATATTGTTAGATCTCTTGTAGGTTCTGAGTCGAGGAGATTTCAAGGAGTAGATTTCCAAATTATCATTTATATCTTCTCTTTCCCCCATTACAAGATAACACCCTCTGCTTTGTTTCTAGTAAATTATATTGAGGCCCCGACGGTAACGAAATAACCAGGAGTCCCAACTGGAAGGGTTATCTTTATCTTTGGTACTGGTGTGCAGAATAAAGGAAAGTTCTAATGTGCTCTGATAAACGGCTTCGGCTGTCGTTTCTTGGATTGCAGTGCTCAGGACGAGCACCTTTGGGACGAGAATCTGGAATGTTCACATACCGGTAAGCGCTGTTCAACATTTTGGTTGTATATGATCTTTAATCTCCGACGGTTAAAGTCCCGACCAAGCAGGAGAATAGGCCCGGTATTTATTTAAAATGAAACTAAACCAGGACAGGACTGGAGGTGGGGATAGCAGGAGCGTCACAACTGTTTTTTGACAGTCCCTGTCATGTCAGCCGCCATGTTTGTCCCCAACCTTCTGTTTCGTGTGCTGTCAATCATTTCTGATATCTCTATGCCACCATGTCAAAGTTTGTATCATCTTCCAAGGACAAATGTGTGCTCTTTAGAAACTAGTTTCATTTACCCCTGGCTTTCTCTGATCTTTCTTCCCCG